TGTAGGTCTACTTTCTGCTAGCCATACAGCAAGGCCATGCATCATGGAACCACACAAGCCTAGAACCCCTAGATCCTTGTTCTTCTCCTCTCCATACTTATTTCACCCTATCTTCAACCATGAGTGGCTAACATAGCACCCCAGAATTAACTTCCTTGCCCCAAATATGAATGTCTTTTGTAGTCATGCTGCGGCTAGGTACTCAGCAGAATCTGGGGCAGTGAAAGTTTATCACTCTTGCTGGATTTTGTTTTCTTGCCCCATGAAAGCCAGCTATTTCCTCCAAACTGGTATCAGTCAGGCCAGGAAGTTTCTTTTTCCCTGCAATCCATTGTGTGAGGGAAGATCAGAGGTCTTCTGGCTGGCTGAAAGGACAGAGCCAGATCAGCATAGCAGGGATAGCAGGAACAACAGGACACCCATCACAACAATTACTCATGACAATTATTACCAATCTGAAGAGGCTCTGCTCTGCATCAAAGGCACCTAAGAATCTAACACTACTTTGTTCTGTCTCATTAACCCACTGCTTACAGTCCACTGACAGGCAAGGGACAGCACCTGTTACCAGCAGCAACCTTTCCAGGAAAACAAACACTTCTAAAACAGGAGGCGGTGGCAACATCAAAGGATGCTCCACCTCATTTTCATGTCACAGATAAAATGTTAGGGCTTATAAAACCAGTATGGATCAACACTAATATAATACTCTCAGTGTGTGTGTGTGTGTGTGTGTGTGTGTGTGTGTGTGTGTGTGTGTGTAGGGGTGTGTAAGTAGGTAAAATAAAGGCGACCAAAAGATGCCCATGATCTAATCCCTCTACATGGCAAATGGGAATTAAGGCTGCAAGCCAAATTAAAGATGTTGATTCGTATAAAATAAGGAGATGATTTTAGATTATTCTGGTGGTCCCAGTTACCATCAGAAGGGCCTTCAAAAAAAGGAGGGGGGAAGATGTGGGGTGTTGCTCAGGAGGGGGAGTGATACCTTATCATGCAGAGCCCCAAGCCTATTCTCCAGAACCAAATAACTGATCACAGTGGCACATATCTCGAGTCCCAGCACTAGGGAGATGGAAGCAGAAAACAGGAAATTCAAGGACATATGATAACAAGTGCTTATTTCACCCTCTTGTTATCTGGTGAACTAGATGTTGGCTGATGTAAGCAATGCCTGTGGAAGGGTGGTTCTGCATCTCTATCATACTCCCATCACCAAAGGCACAATGTTACTATGACATTGAGAGCTACAAGGGAAAGCTTTCACATATTCCATCCCCAACTGGGTGATAAGGCCAAGAACCTCACATAGAGCACAAGAAGCCATGTGGCCAAGTCCAAAGTCAAGGAATGAAAGCACATTATATTCAGCCATGCTATGCCATCAAGGAAGAGGTAAGAATGCACAGTTTTACGGGGGCTATGGGATATTGCTGCAGAATTGTAAGCAGCAGTTCAAGCTACCACACACAATCAGTATGATCACTAACCCATGTTCCAGAATCATTTAGAATTTCACCCAAATCATATCACAAGTACACAGCAAAGCTAGGATAGGAAGGTGTAATGGTCAGTCTTAATCATCAAGTTCAAGAGGCCTAGAACCAGCAAGAAAACAGGCCTCTAGGCAAATCTTTGGGGAATTATCTTGACTGGATGAATTGAGGTTGGATGGTCCATCCATTGTGGGTACCACCGTTCCTCCTGTGGGTTAGAATCATGAGCTGAATGGAAAGGCAAAAATGCAAGCGGAGCAGAAGCATTCGCCACTCTTTATTTCATGGCTATGGATTGCGATGTGACCAGCTGCCGCCTCTGACTCTCACTGCTGTGATTTCCCTACTTTGATGGACTGTGACCTCGAACTGTGACCTGAAATAAAGCCTCAATCTAGTGAGGCTTTATTTTTGTCCAAGCATTTTAACCAAAGCAATAGTGTGAGGGTTGTGGGAGAGAAGGCAAGTAAATAGCTTTAGGATGATAGTTAAGAAACTTACATCTGCTAATGAGTAGAGTTAAAACTCTATGGCAATAAATGGTATTGTGTCTGGACAGGGTACATCGCTCTGGGCTTCTAAGATTCCCAGAAACAAAAGGACAACACTCTAAGAGGGAGCAAACCAATGGAAAGGCAGCCAATTTGAGCTGTTGCTTTTCAGTGAGGCCACATTCTCCCTTCCAGGACTGGGGCCAAGAAGGTTCTGTGACTTTCCAGGGATGATTGTATGGCAAGCCCAACACCCAGGCTGAGTCAGCTATCCGTGGCTGTCACAACACCAAATGTCCTTCTTCCCCCTCTTCAGAGGCTGAATCTGCTGCTAAGGTAGCCTGGTTTATAGGAGGCTCTGTTCCTTTGATAGCTGGAGGGCAGGATGTAGTGAGAAGGGAGGAAAAGTTGAGGAAGAAGATGAGAGATATGGACAGAAGCAGAGCTGTTCCTGAGCACTGGAAGGCAGACACAGAAAGAAATGAAAGAAAAGTAAAGGGAAGTAATCCTTAGAACTAAGCATTACTGAGAAACTATTTCAGAGCACCTAGTTGGAGTTCCTGGAAAGGATGAAAAAAAAAGCCTATCTGGGGCCTCTTCAGAAAGCTCCCAGGGCAGAAAAGCCAGGGGTAGGAGGCAGTGGTGTCTCCACCTGAAAAGGCAGCCAGTGTCTGGAGGCTCTAAATGATTGTAGAACCTTTAATATCGTGGCTGGGATAAGGAATCACCAAAAGCTATTAAAGAGAATGTCAGTGGCTATAATGACTTAAGGTAATGATACACCCTAAGGCTGAACCAAAGGGAATCTGCTCTGAGTCCTACAGGAAATAGACCCTATCCCTTCTCCCTGTCAACCTGAGTGAAGGTCATCCCATCCCAGATAGTCTTTTCCCTTCTGTCTACTCTTACCTGAGAAGGATGTGGTATCATTTTACCTAAACATGAGAACATCTCCAAAAGAGCAGCTGATACTCTTTGCTCGCATATGTAACCCATTAGCTCACCTCACAAGCATCCTGCACAGGATAAATAGCATTGCTCCCATGATGGCGGAGGCTCGGTGAAGTTAGTTTGCTCATAATCATCAGCTAAACAGCCCAGAGTTTAACTTTGGTCTACTACATTCCTAAACTCTGGTTCCTTATGTTTTACTAGGCTGTCATCTCGGCGTCTAGTGCATAGACCGAAAGAGAGGTGGGACAGTGGTCCTTTGATTCATGTATAAAAGTGACTGTAAAGTAGCTGCTGTTGGCAGTCACTAGAACATAGTAGAAGGCTTTAAAGTGAGCATTCCAGAGACAACTTGAGCTTCCGAACCTTGTTTTTACCATTTCTCATCTAGACTGGAAGATGGAACACAGCAATTAACCTCTCTTCTTAAGCTGCTCCATTGGAAAAAAATGAATGAATAGTAACTATACTGCAACAGTCTTAGAAGGATAAAATAATTTGGTGAAAATAAAGAATTTGCAATAGTTCCTAGCACATAGAATGTTGTTATGGTTTGTTTTGTGGTTACAACTTTATCCTTTAAAAGGTTTAAATGTAATGGAGGAAGACAGGAATGAAACAAAAGTAGCATCATCAAGATGAAGAGTAGAAATCTCAGCATCTCCTCATCACAGAAAGATCAATTTGAACATCATTTAACCACAAGAGCTAAAGAATCCAAATGAGAAGATTATAGCATCTAGGAACAGAAACATAAGAAGACATACTTTAAATGTCTTTTACATTTGATATGAGCTAGCTTTACACTGTCCCATATCAGCACTCCTCCTCACAACCCTGGAAAGGGTTGCCTTTCATTTGGAGGAAGAAGAAAGAACCCTGGGTTTACCACAGACCCAAACTCCAGGCCTACTGTAATGAACTCCATTCCCAGGTCAACTTCCACAAACCCAGTCTTTGGGTTATAGTTAATGAAAATACCCCGGTGAACTTCAGTGTAGGATACCCTCATAGACTCAGAATTTGGCTTGCACTAAATGGATCCAGATTTTAAGCTCTGCTCACTGGCCCAGACCTTAGGCTTAGCCACAGAAACCTAAGCTCTGAACTTATCCAAATGGCTCCAGGCTCCAGAATGGCCCCTACAATCCCAAGATACAGGCCCATCTACCCAATGATATAGGCACCAGAGTATTCTCTCATTTCATAGTTCCAGCAGTAATGCTACCCACAGATTTTACCAGACAGACCACCCAATCTGGATAGGCTGACCAGAGAATAATGTTCTTTGCTAAAGTTAATCTATAAAAAGAACGTAAGAGTGGATGAGGGAGGGAGGGAGGATGGGAGTGGGAGGGAATGAGGGAGGAGGCTACAGCTGGGATAAAAAAATGAATAAACTATAATTAATAGAAAAAAAAGAATGTAAGAATGCTTATTTCTTAAAATGGATTCACATCAACATAAGATATAAGGATCATAAATGGTCAGGGAGATGATTAAAAAAACAAATCTCAAGAAAATAAATATCCATGAACTGCCTAACAAAGAATTCAAAATAACTGTCTCAAAGAAGTTCTGTGAACCACAAAACAATAAATATACTGTACTACATGATATCAGAAAATAACATCCCAATGTAAGTAAACAAGACAAAATCCATTAAAGGAAGAATGAAACAGAAATCTTGACACCAATACACAATAACCAAACTGAAAACTCTGTAACTTCCACAGCATACTTGACCAACTAGAGAAAGGAATCAATGAGCTTAAAGACAGGTTCATTTCAAATTATTTGGAAGCAAAACAGTAAATGAATAGAGTTAAAAAAAATCTTCTAATATACCATCAAGTAAAACAAAGGACAGGCTGAAAAAGCTTGTTGAAAGAAAAATAAAATCATAGAAAACATTTCATAAGCAGAAAGGGAAATAACAAGCTGAATCCTGAAGAACCCCAACCTGGTTATAGTGAAGAGATCTTTACTAAGATATATTATAATCAAATTCTCAGAAGCCAAAAACATCAATGTCTGAAAGCAATAAGAAAAGCTAACTTACCATATTCAGGTGAGCTGTCCTTAAGAATACCTGCAGATTTATCAGCAGAAACCCTACAAATTAAAAAAGAGGGATGATATATTCAAGGCAGTGAAAGAATGACTGCCCATCAAATATTTGAAAGCTATCTTTGAGAAATGGTGGGCACCGAAAGCCCTCCTAGACAAATAAAGGATGAGGGGTCTACACATCACAAGGCCTATCTTAAAAAAAAAAAAAAAAAAAAGTAAAGGAAACCCTTCAAGTTGAAATAAAAAAGATGCTATAACACGCATGCAAAAGCCACAATAAATGTAAGGAAAGAGTCAAGGTCAGAAAAATACTATATTGATGATACATAAGTCACTTTCAACTAAGCGATATAATTTGAAAGATAAAAATAAAAAATGACTAGAATGTTAATTGTTTGTTGATACTCAATAGTACATTGTAACACCAGTAACATAAAATGCTGTGGGATAGAAGCACAGCTTTTTCTTTTTTAATGCAGCTGCGGTTGTCATCAACTTAAAACAAACTTTATAATAAGGTCTTTTGTGTAAGTCTGATGGAAAACACACCCAAAAATAATCCACAATGGCTAGGTCATCAGAAAGGAAGAGTAAATGTAAACAAAAATGCATATTATAAAATCACAAAAAAGAAATGTGGAAGAAAGCAGCGATGAAACCACAAAGCAGCTAGAAAACAACAAAACTGCAAGAATAAGTCCTGACCTATCAGTGACTATATATAAATAGGTTAAATTATCCAAGCAAATAAAGGATAGCTGAATGGTTAAAACAAGATCCAGTTATTCTATCTATAAGACTACCTTGAGCAGACATGGTGGCTCAAACCTGTAATCTCAGAATCCCGGAAGTGGAGGAAGGCTAAATAAAGAGTAAGATCCTGTCTCAAAAACACAAAATAATTTTAAAGGGAGGAGGAGGAAAAGAAGGAGGAGGAGGAGGAAGAAAAGGAGGAGGAGGAGGAGGAGGAGGAAGAGGAAGAGGAGGAGGAGGAGGAAAAGACCCTAACCCTAACCCTAACCCTAACCCTAACCCTAACCCTAACCCT